CACCCACACACACACACCCACACACACACGCACACGTGCGCACACACACACGCACACGTGCGCGCACACACACGCACACACGTGCGCACACACACGCACACACGTGCGCACACACACGCACACACGTGCGCGCACACACGCACACATGTGCGCGCACACACGCACACACGTGCGCACACACACGCACACACGTGCGCACACACACGCACACACGTGCGCACACACGTGTGCACACACACGCACACACGTGCACGCACACACGTGCACGCACACACGTGCACACACACACGCACACACGTGCACACACACACGCGCACACGTGCACACACACGCGCACACACGTGCACACACACGCACACACACGTGCACACACGCACACACACGTGCACACACACGTGCACACACGCACACACACGTGCACACACACGTGCACACACACATGCACACACGTGCACACACACGTGCACACACGCACACACACGTGCACACACGCACACACACGTGCACACACGCACACACACACAGTAATACTGTTGAAATGTCAAAAACCTCTTTTGGACAGTACAACATTTGATATACATGATTTTTGACATACATGATAAGTAATATCACTTTATAAGTTATATCAAAAAATTGTTTATGTCTCTTGGTTTTTTAATTTATTAAAATAGATTTTCTTCATCTGAATTTTTGGACAATGCACCAAATTTTTATGGAATAACAATCTCCATCCGTAAATAATGATGCAACTACCACCATGCTGTAGTGTTGGAGATGCAGACTTATTCCACATAAAAAATAATCCTTTTGTAATCAATTCACCATTAATTCTCAATTTTCAATATTTTAAATTAACAAACATATTCTGGAATGGGGACAATCTATTGATTCTTGAAATTATTTTCTGATAACATAAGTTGATAATAATAGTTGCATTAGTTATTGTAATAAACATTTGTAATATTTCTATTTGGTACACAGGTTATGCAGATGCATCAGCGAAATCTTGAAAAAAAGTTAAAGAACTTTTAAACTCATTTATTAAAAAAATTTTATTAGGAAAGTGCTTTTTACATGACAGTAAAAAGCCTCTATTCTGGATAACTTTCCAAGACTGCAATTGATTCTTATTTAGTAGAGCACAGTTTTTTTCAGGTTCTTTCTATCTAAATCTAAGAATACAGCTATAGCAGTCTGCGTAGATGGAGTTGTCTGATCTTATTTCTGTTCCTTTTAGAACACACCACTTGAAGATGTCCAGTGGTTTAAAGTCTTTTGAGCAACATGTCACTCAATTTAACTCTTGTCAACCTTCAGCATCAGACAATGAGTTAGGTTTTAACATCCTCCTCTGTTAGTCAAACAGTGTCACCAACTATAATAAGGATGGGCCAGGGTTCTCAGAAAAGGCTCTTTGAGATTTGTTATTTTCCATCTGTGGCTTTCTTTTTTGCTGAGAACTTTCTTTGCCAGCCTAGCACAGTTCTCCTCAGATTTTTTCAGTTTTTAATCATTGGTATCGGATTCCCAGAGAATTGAACGATCTAGTATTAAAGTGACTCGTAGCAGCCAGGCCTTTCATTAACTTTACTTACAGTTGAAGTCAAATGTCCCAGGAAATTGAAATAAAAATTTTTCATTTGCTGATGCACTCTGTATAAAGGGGTCTCAGAAATATCTAGTGTGTGATATTGCTTAAGTTTCTGGATGAAATATTTTGTTGGTTTTTTATTTTAGTTTTTTTATTTGTCCAGGTGAAGGGCTAGTAGAAATGGAAATATTGCGAGTTTTGCCCTTCGATTCATCTCGTAAATGTATGTCTGTGATAATTGTTCATCCAATAACAAAGGAGAAAACAGTATACTGTAAAGGTGCTGACTCAACAATACTTCCTCAACTTAAACCAACAGGTATGTTTGGTGTGAAATTTTTAATTTCATGTCAGTGGCAATTAAGCATTTCCAATATACCTATATACCAATATATCTATTCTATGAACAAAAAAATGTAATAGTATTTCCAGATAATATTTTAATTTATTTGTATCTGTAAAATAAGAACACATGGGGTGCCTAGAATGGATCAGTAGAATTTTATTTAGACAAAGGGATGTTGGAGAAAAAAATTGTAGACAATTATTGAAATCTATTCTGCATAGAAGTGCATGGCATAAAACAGAGCGAGGACTAACTACATTTTTGGGTCCCTTTGGGTCAAAGTTTCTATTAAACTTATCACTTTATTTTTTATTTACTCTTTATGTAATTATGTACCAGAAGAATCACTTTCTTAGGTGGAAAGGAGGTTATGGCTCCTTTGTACTAGTCTTTTCTCAGCATTTGTTTCTGTATGTCCAGGATCCTCTGTACATGTAATGGGTCATAGGATGTCTTATTAATGATTTTGGAAATTGGGAGTGGAGAGTGTGGCGATGCTTATGCGCATATTTGCCTAATATTTACTATTAATAAACAAGTAAATATATCAGTATGTATTTTGATAGGAGGCTGGGTGGTCCTCCGTATCACCCTGAATAAGACACGGCTTGGTTAAAATCCTCGGCGAAGCTGAGTTTGAGTAGAGGTTTCTCAGGTTAGCAAATGTCCTAACCCCTATGCTTACGTGAATCTAAAACTTCATTGATACAGTTAATAAATAAAATTTATTTTTATTGAACTATTTACAAGGTTGGCAGATGATTTGGAGGGCTGCTCCTCCTTGTGCCATGTATCAATTGCCCTAATAATTACGGAAACTAAATGCTTTATTACATAATGCCTCTTTTGAAATTTTCAGGGGGGGGGGCATTCCCCTCTCCCCTGTGCACTTGCCATGCTATTCTATGTAGCTTCATAGAAAATATTCTAGGCTGGCAGAAAAAGTGGGTATAAGTCAGAAAATGATCAAAATCAGTTAAGGCCATGGTCTAATTCCTGGAAATGAGCTGAATCTTTTCATGCTTTCAATATAAAGCTCTTCGAGATAATTATGAGTTCTTCGCTTTGTTTACAAAAGGTAAAATGTTCTTTCAATTGTTTGGTCCCAGATAACAAAAATAGGTCTCTCCTGCAAAATGTCATTTTTTGATTTATATTCTTTTTTTTTCTCTCTAGCAGCCTAGATTTAATCATTGAATCATGATAATTTATTTAGAATATGATGTTAATGTTATATTAAAGTTAACAAATAATACATCAGAAGGGATAATTATATGTTGTCTCGTGCTGTTGTACATATAGATGATTTCCTGATGCAACAACTCATATTTCGCACACAACAACATCTTAATGCCTATGCTAGACAAGGATTGAGAGTTTTGGTAATGGCAAAACGCACTCTCTCAGACGCGGAATATGAGGAATGGGAAAGAGCACATTCAGAAGCGGAGTTAAGTGTGGAAAACCGTGATAGAAAAATTAGAGATTCTTATGCAAAATTAGAAACAAACTTAACTCTTCTGGGTAAGGTCTACTTGTCAATCACTTTGTGTGTTTTTTTTTTTTATTTAAAACTGTGTCCTTACACTGTATTGTTTGTTAACAGGAGCTACAGGTATTGAAGACAGGCTTCAAGAAGGTGTACCTGAGACAATTGCTGCTCTCATCAGTGCAGGGATAGTAGTTTGGGTACTTACAGGAGATAAACCTGAAACTGCAATTAATGTTGCGTATTCATGTAAACTGTTCTCACCACAAATGGAGCTTCTAAAGTTGTCGGCACGCTCAAAAGATGCTGCAGAGAGCACAATCCTGTTTTATTTAACAGAAATCCAAAGGGATTGTTCTCCTTCAGATCATGGGTAAGTCTTCCTTTACATCAGATCTGAGAAACATGTCAATCACAATTGATTGGTTGATAACTGGGTTTGGTTTGGTTAATTGTTAATTTTTTTTATGAAAATTGCTCAAAATTTCCTGAATTTCCTTTAATCTGAAAGCATTTTGACCAGGTCACAAAACTAGTTGCTCATCATACTACTCTGTATATTGAATGTAAAAAATTAAATCGATGAACCACATAATTTCCCAATAACTAAATAAGATTTTTTTTTTCTTTTGTGCTTGATTAATGCAGAGTTTAATAAAATGCATAGATTTTTGGATTGCCATAAAGATTTTCATTAAAACTTATAATATTTTTGAAAATTGCATGTTTTTACATTCTCATATTTCAAAGGTGTTTTGTGTTCTGAATATTGAGGCTGGAGATTTATTTTTTAAAACACTATGTTCCTCATTATTACATCTTTAAATATTTTTGTGTGGTAAACTTTTTTTTTTCTCAGTCTATTTATTTTTTCATTAGTAGTTTTTGAGAAATTTTTGAGTTCAAGAATGAGAATTTTCGTGATGATATAGATCAATGACATAGATCAATGGTTGTACCACGAAGTACTTAGGTATTGAATTGCTGAAATATTTTTTTCTATTCTAGAATGTTTTTGTAAATAGAGCTCAAAACAGTATATTCAAAGATAGAAGTGCTATTTTCATTAAAGCTTTTGAATTAAAAAAATATTGAAGGCATTTTTGTTGTGTTTGGTTAAATTTCCTGTGCTACTTTTGCTGAAAACTTTTTCAAGTGATGAGTGCAGTGTTCATAGGATAGAAATTGGAATAACAATTACTAACAATAGGAAATATGTGTTGTTGAAGCACCACTTAGTTCTTAAATGAAAGTCTGTTTTATGTTTTTCTCCTTTCTTTTTAATTTAATTTTTATTATGTATCACATTATGTTAATTACTGTTAACATAAAATGTTGGCTTTATGTGCACAATTTTTTTTCTTTCAGTGCAACAGGTGGGTTGGCAGGTCCAGGACTCAATCAGGTGGGAGTGTTTGCCCGAGCCACAACTCTTGGTGAATCATCACACTCCAGCCACCAAGTCATGAAAAAAAGAGCGCTTGTAGTTGATGGGAAAACTCTTACGTAAGTTCAAATCATTCAGGAATATTGAAAAATTCTCATATTGCTTTGTACCAATATTTACTTAAATATCATGTGTTCGTTGTATATAACTTACAACAACTGCCTTGCATTAAACTAGCAAATTTCATGGAAATTGACAAGGAAATTGAAAATATTTATATGTTTAAGTTTTTAAGTAATTTTTATCTTATTTATATTTATTTTATTTTGAACAGTTATATTCTAGATCGGCGGTCAAATCTTCAAAAACCTTTTCTTGAATTAACAAGGCATTGCACTTCTGTCCTGTGTTGTCGAGCTACTCCTTTGCAGAAAGCATACATTGTGAAAGTAGTAAAAGAAGTATTGAAAATGCGAACTCTAGCAATTGGTAAGTTTCTAATGTCACAAGAATTTTGTTTCTACCATTGTAAACAAATTTATTCTTAACAACAGTCCTGATTCAACATTCTTGTTGCGTTTTGATTTCTCTGTGGAAATGCATTTCAATTATATCATTGTGAATTTACAGGTGATGGCGCTAATGATGTGTCAATGATTCAGACTGCAGATGTTGGTATTGGTATATCTGGGCAGGAGGGAATGCAAGCTGTTATGGCTTCAGATTTTGCATTGTCTCGTTTTAAATACCTTGAACGCTTATTGCTGGTACATGGTCATTGGTGCTATGACAGGCTTGCACGAATGGTGCTTTATTTCTTTTATAAGAATGCTGTAAGTTAGTTATCAAGTTAATATTATTATGTTAATTCTTGAAAACTGAGTTGATGTGGTCAGCATTATTTAAAACAAAACGTGCTTTTTATATTCCAGACATTTGTATTTCTTATTTTCTGGTATCAGTTGTATTGTGGTTTTACTGGTGCAGTTATGATTGACCAGATGTACCTGATGTTGTATAATCTACTCTTCACTTCATTGCCCCCTATTGCCATTGGTGAGCTGTATAACAGATTTTTTAAATACCCATCTGAAGAAGCAATGAAGTTAGTATGTTTTAAAACTATATTTTCTGTATTTTTGTCAATGTTTGGTGTGTTTGTTGTAGGTGTTTATGACCAAGATGTTCCAGAAGAAATTCTACTAGCTCGACCTCATTTATATCGACAAGGTCGATTAGGCCTTGTTTATCAGCCTCACTCATTTTGGATTACAATGGCAGACTCCTTATACCAGAGTATTGTTATATTTTTTATCAGTGAAGCTGTAAGTAAATATATTTTTTCATATTGCTAATGTTGAACATTAAAGTATTTCATGGATACTCCTCAATATTCAAAATTGTTTTTATTTTGTGAATTATTTCTCAGGCATATCATGACACTGATGTAGGAATCTGGGAATTTGGTACAACCATAACTACCTCATGCATGTTTGTCATGCTCATGCAGGTTGCCATAGAGACGAGATCTTGGGTAAGTATTGGGTTTGTTCGTAATTTCTGTGTTGGAACCTTCAGTTCGTACCCTAGGGGATAGTGCATGAACATTAACTTGAAAGTTTTTGAGAATCTAATTTATGGAAGCAATATTGATCGATTAAATGATAATTTATTATTTTTTGTTTTCAGACTGTTCTACATGTGCTTTCAATTTTGGCATCCATCTCAGCATTCTATGTATTCTCTCTTGTGTATAATACTGTGTGTCTACAATGTTTTGGTCTCCCCAGTAATTATTGGGTTATTCAACAGACAATTGGTTCAGTCATATATTGGGCAGTTGTCATCTTATCTACAGTATTAGCCCTTCTTCCCAGGTAAATGTTGCTTTATTTGCACACTTTCTTTTCATTTTTCCTCCTAAATAGTGAAGTTAGAAAAATGTTTTCCATTTACATTCTTGTTTTTCTTTTTCTCAAAAATAATCTGACAGAGTAACTTATTACATTGATAAATTTCACTGTCTTTATAATAATTTATCTTCCAGTTGTAAATAAAAAAATAATTTATATTAACATAAATTTGCCACACATCTCGTAGATTATTATTATTATTATTATGATTATTATTATTATTATTATTATTATTATTATTATTATTATTATTTTTATTATTATGATTATTATTACTATTACTATTACTATTTTATAAAACAATAACTTACAAGAATCAAATAAGGATGCAAATATACACAACAGATGAGACAACAAAGGTCTAGGCCAAGGATACACGCTTGTCACTCACTACTCTTCAACATCTTCCTGAATCACGGTTATAGAGTAGAAATAGAAATCTCAAGCAGAAATAAATACAATAAGCATCCAGAAATCATTGACAATATTATTAGTAGATGTACAAGACATAATACTGGGAGAGATGGCTCAAGACATAACCTGATGTCACTGCAGTCCTTCTGACTAGGAGGTCCTAGGTTCAAGTCTCGATGGTGACAGAATTTTCAACACTAGCTTGTATAACTAACAAAGAGTATCAAACAAAGTAGCCTAGTGGATTTCTATGGAAAAGGGCTTCTTAGAGCCAAAATTAAAAAAAGAAAATAAACTTGAACAAGTTTCAAGTTTTTAATACCTTTGAAATTCTTTTGGGTTAGATCAAAAGGAAAAATACAAAAAAATATTGTAGAAATATGTAGTTAGACCCATGTTCTGCACTTTGTAAACCGTTGTTTTAATTGTGAAAATGGCTTCATACTGATTCCTTATTCAAACCGCTACTACCAGAACTGCGTATTACAGCATTATACACCTGGTATTGTGCATGAGTAAACATTTTAATATTGCTAATATTGTTTTAATAGAAGGTACCAGAGTGGCTGCGGTTTAGCTTCTCTTAAACCTGATGTAAATCTGAGAAAAATTCCCTGACCAGCATTGGAACACTAATAGGATTTTGAATCAATTTCGTATAAATAAATTTAAAAACAGGAAATGAAATAAAACAAAATAAAATTTAAAAATAATCCTGATCATATTACATAGAGAGAGGATGGACGTGTATGAGAAAGGAAACAATTATGAGAACTCATGACATTATATTGAAATCAGTGTTAAAGTATAGTCCAAAAATGGGGGTAATGGAACAGCATTGATATGTTACTGTAATTCAAAAATTAAGGTCAAAGGTTAATTAGTTAGTCCTTAATAAATTAAGGACTAAAAGTTCTTAGATAGATAAGTCTTGACTAACATCTTAAGAAATTTTATCCCGCAACCTCAAAATTGTTGAACTATTTATGATTTATGATATAATATTGTATTAATTTGTTTAATAAGTAATAAGCGATCATGGATAATAAAAGTGTGGCAACCTATCATTTTTGTTATATTCTTTCATTTTTATTTTTCTTCTTAATTACATCTTCTTTAATACCTATCTCTTTCTTTTTCTAGGTTTGTTTGGCGAGCTTTGGAAACATGTCTTTTCCCTCGGGATGTAACGCGAGCTGTATTGGAAAAACGTCGCGCTGCACGTCTAGGTGAGGACTTCCTCGTGTCATGGTCACGTTCAACATCTACATCTTCGATATTCAGGTATAGTACCTCTTGTCACTTCCATGATGTAGTCAGTTGAAATCTTTCTGGGACCACTTTTAAAATTGTTCTCTCAGTCAAAAGTATCAGATTCAGCTTCTCTTGAATTTAGTGGTTATGTCATTGTGTCTCATTCTATCTTCAGATTTTTTAATTTTATAATGTATTTAATGTATGATATTTTTAGTATTAATTTTTTTCAACTGAAATTTGGATATGTTGCAGAAATTCAGTCAATTTTTAGTTTTTGACAAGAACATTCCAAGTACACATTCATTGTGTGTAACGGAGAACAAATTAAGAAAATTATTTTATTGCATTAATAATTATTTATTTGTAACAGATGACATAAGTTGCATAAGATAATCATGTGTTTTCTTCAAAAATGCTCCTTCTGTCATGGTCAAGCTTTTAAGTTTTCATGTCCATTCAAATTCTGCTTTTTATAAATTGAGACAAAGTGGAATATTCATGACTGTTTGCACTACTGTGAAATGTTAACATTTGGATCCAGAAAGTGTAGCTGACTGCTGTTTCACTTTCTTTCTACATCTCTTTAACTTACAATTTTGTCAATATGGGAACGTTAAATTCTAACCATTGCAAAAAAAATTCATTTTGAAACTTAAGGGTTTAGAAAATTGCATTTTAATGTTATAAAATTAGGAGATATGTATCAACTCTTCTGTATGCGAAACATTTTTATAGTCATCAAGTGCAAACTCAAAGCAGAAATGGTAGCTGTTGAAACAAAAGCTGAACTTCTAAAAGTTATTGAAAACTGTCATGGTGATAATGTAATATACTGGCATGCTTGTTTCAGTCTTCATACATATCATATTTATTCAGAACTGAAACAAATACTTTGGTCCAGAAGTCTTCTACCCCACTTTCAAAATTTCAATTGTGTGTGTATAATAATTATAATTTCAATTAAAAAGTTTTTGTAAATCATTATATCATCAAAAGCACAAGCATAAAATCACAATTTATAATAAGATTAATGTTTATAAAAGATCAATTTTGGCGTATGTTAAAAAAAATCCCTAACAATTGTATATATTGTTTGCTTCCCCATACAAAAAAAGGTTAATTGAGAATACTTTTCATTTTGTTCATTTTCATATGCTACCTATTTCTAATAATGGCCATTTCTGTTTAGATAATTCATGACACTCAAAATTCAAGTTAAATTTGTTAATTAAATTGTTAGAACTATTATTTTTATAGTTTTTTATTGTTGTGGAAACATAGAGAGTTGTAGTCCAGGATTTTTAAAGTATCCCAAAATTGTGCTCTGAGAACATGGCACTGTGTTGTGTATTAACCCATTTGCTTCAGTTCGATACACGTACAAGAATGATTTCAGATTTATCCTCATTTCTAATGTAGAAATATTGAGCTTCACTCTGGTATGCCTACCTGTACTCACTGCTGCATTTCAGGTTTTATAAAAGAGTTAGTATTATGGCAATTGAGGGGAGCAAAATGTGATGCATAATATTTATAGAACACTAATTAAAGTTGATCATTGTAATTATAGTGATGGATCTCTTGAGTAGTGAATACTGATTCTACAAATCATTTGAAATCATTTAATTTTGAAACTGGCAAAAAATTTTGCCAGTTTGAAAATTTGCTAATTTTGAAATTGAAGACGTTAATATCTCTATTATTATAACTAAAATGAAATGTACTTACTTCAAATTAGGCACAAGGAGTAATCTCCAAAAATATTCCTGCTCCAGAATGGAAACCTTACTGAAAGGTGAAGAAGAAAAATATGGTTATAAGGCAATTCGAAATGCATATAGTTTTATTGTTTGATTGTTTTCAACAGAATCGTATGCTTGCATTATATCAGAATAAAGCATAATTCAAAAATAATAGTATTTCTCATTAAATAGAAATTTGCCAAAAATATACTTTGCTAAGTTTTCTTATGATAAATTTTTAAGAAAAATAGCTGCAGAAATGGACTTGCGCTATTTTTATTTGAAGATTGAAGAATTATGTGCAGCAACAGTTAGAGGCAAATGGGTTAATGTAAGTAGGAACGTAGTCTTGATTTTATCCAATGCATTAGAGTGTAGTGAAGTTTTTAACATATTTTGATTGATTGAAGTAGTTTGGTCTAAATGCAGTTGGAATAATCTTACAACAGATGTAATTATCAGTAGCAAGTAGGCCTACATATAAGTGCCAGGATTTAGATCAGTTTTATTTTTAACTCATTGTTGTTCTTTATCTGGCCTTTCAGTTTCTTAATGAATTTGTAAAGTCATGTAGTTAGAATATAATGTTACATATTCCAAAATGTCTTTCAGTTAGTATGCTCTTAGCATGGCTTTATGGTCTTGAGCTGTAGTGTGTTTGTCACTTAGTCCATATGGATCTAATTGTACTTCTAATTTCAATAGTTAAAGTTTAAAGATGGTATAATAATTCACTGGTTTATTTCTTTTTTTAATTTTTTAAAAAAAAATTTAATGTAAAGTTTTCAATTTAAAGTAAATTTGATGCATTTTCCTCTAAAATGATTTATAAGGTAATAGTTCAGTGGCTTAGATTTCGGTCATGATTTCTTTAATGGTGTCTGGAAAAGTATGCTATTAATGAAAAATGAACTATAATTAAAAGTTATGTTGTAAACAATAAAAAACAGTTTGTATTAAAATATAAACTGGAGGAATTTTGAAGTATCTTCTGTGCAAAGCGGTTTTCCATCTATGCCTTTGTGACAAATTGAGGAAACAGCTCTGGAACCTCAGGTGTATTTGACCCTGCCTGCCTCTCTCACTCTTGAGCTTCTCAAGCGACTTGAACTCAGCCATTTCCAACACAGACACATGAGTACAGCACCATGAGTGTGCGCTTGAGCATTGTGTGTTCACCAGTTTCAAGGTAAGCAAATGCATGCAATTTGTAGTGTGTAGTTTTCACTTGTTTCTTATCACTTAATGTAGATTGACGTAGTAATTGTATCGTAGAACTGATAGAGTTCAGAAAACCTTTGATCTTATCATTGTTATATTTTAAAAGACCAAACTATGGGACAATAGTGCAGCAATTTTCCAGAATAAAACATGATTGAAACCAGGGTCGCCAACAGTTGGAGAAAGCGGGACAGTGTCAGAAAAGTGAGGGAAATTGTAATATTTTTTTAAGTTGGTGAAACTTGACCAACAGTGATTGTTTGTCTTTTGGAAAAATACTTATACCAACCTTTGTATGGTTTTTGAGACAATGAAGCACCATATTTTTAGAAAAACACTTTTGATTAATTTTTAATTTCTACATTATTTTTATTAAGTAAGTTGTGTGTTCACAATGTTGCATGAACAAAGTGCAAAAACGTCTTCAGGAATCCTATTAAGAATTAATGCAAAAAGGAAATAATAATAATAATGATAATAATAATAACAATAACAACAATGATAATAACAATAACAATAATAATATAACAATAACAACAATAAAAAGCATTTGCTTTTTCAATTCATACTAATAATAAAAAAATAATTAAAACAACCTAAAATAATTAATAATTGTGTTACTGAGAAAAGTCATGGATTTCTGGAGTTACTGTGTTTGAGGTGAGGGAAGTGTTGTTTACATTTCCCTTTTATGGGTAAAAGTGTAATATTGTAGTTCTATTCTCAAAAATCTGACTAGCTGATTTATGTGAAATGTTACTCTTGTATACACTTCAATGTTTTCCTTTGGCCTTTAAATATTGTCTTTGTTGTGCATATAGCACCAGACTTACTTCATCCTTCAAATATGAAATTGGTAAATTAAGAAACAAATCTGAAATGGAATCTCTCGCATGTAAGCAATTCTTAATAAAATGATTTTCCTAAAAATACCAAGCAAGTCTATGAATATGTTGACTACCCTGGTTTAAGTTTGTGATACATAGAATACATATACAGTGAATGCCACTTATTGTAATCATGATTAACGTTATCATTTGACTAATGTTATAATTATTAATATGTACTACCCTGGCCAATATTACAACTTAAAGAAAATATCATTTTTTGAGATCACAGTTAGTTTTATGTTACCAATATTTTGAAGCACATTTTAATTACAATTTTGAGCCCTCATGGGTCAGGCCTCACGAAAGACTAAGGAAATACCATTTACTGTTCGCATTAAGAAATCAAATGGAAAACAAATTTTGGGGATGCACAACTAGATGAAAATATCACTACATCTGCTGGACTGGCAGAAGACAATATAATATGTAAAAATATTTCAACCTTCAGGATCAGCAGAAATCAGGCAGGCATTAGAAATATTATGAAGTGGTGTTCATCACAGTTCATTTCTAGTTCTTGATTTACTCTAATGAAATCCTCATGGAAAACCAGAAAAGATGAGAAACCAGAATCAAGCACTTATGTCTTTTTAATTTGATAATTTACTAATTTGAATTATTAGTGTATTATTTATCATTTTTTCTTAGCCCTGGTGTGATAACAATAAGTAGTGTTCACTGTAAGTTCAGAATTTCTTATAGACGTTATTGGAATTTCATTTTACTTTGCATTGAACTAAAGATAGTACTTATCTCAGTGTATAAATAACATTTAGAGAAAGAGTAAAACAGAAAATCATGTTACCCTCCATTACCTAGCCTAATTGTAGTGCAACTAATGAGAGTAATACTATTCAATCTATTTTCTGTAAATATGCATGAAGGAAACACAATTCATTAGTCAAGCCTTGCACTGCACAATAAAAATTAAGAACCATTATTTACAAGTGGTTGATTACAAGGTTGATTATATTTCAACAATTTTGCACAAAGTAGCAGATTCAATAATTGTATTGACTTATAATGTGAATTAGATGATGGAAAATTGCTTGTAGTTACATGTGATTCAAATTTTGTAAATTACAACTAATTAATTTTTTTCTTCTATTTTGCATGCATTACTTACCTAGTGTTGTTAGATTTGTATTGATAAATCTGTTAATCATGATAGTGATGACTGATTTTTGTACTTGTCTGAGCTGTGAAGTTGAACTTTAAACAATGCTCAACTAGATAATGATCATAGCCAAAAATCCTGAGCCCTAACTTTTCTTTTTCAACTTTTTCTAATCCCGTAAAACCATATGAATCCATATTTTCCTCGGCCACAACACAACTGACCTGAAATCTGGAAACAATTCCTCATTGTGACAGACTATCCTCCTATGTGACTGCTCTATTGGAGATTTTTACTGTATTTGGTAAACATTAAATTTAGAAAGAATTTTATTTTTTTATTTTAAAAATATTTCAGTGCGATTGTAGTTTTCACTCTGATACAGAGTATGAAGAAAAATTAAATTTTCCTGTAATAATTGAATTGGTAGAATTAAGTTCTTGAAGAACAAAAAAGGTTTGTTAAAATATTCTGAAAATAAGTTGAGATAAATATATGAAGAAGAGTTTACTGTTGTTGAAATTTGTAAGTGAGAAAAAGTAAGTGAGAATGGTTGTGAACTCTTGTATCAACTGTGACTAAGGAGGTAAAAGAGAGAACTGTGTCAACATAGGTGACTTTTTATAATTCATATATAAAAAGTTAAACCATTCAATAAAACACTAAAACTGTGGCAAGTCAGATAAAATTAGTATTCTAATAGAAACAGAAGTGTGTTGTTCTACATAATCACATGAACTGTGTGAATATAAAAAGATCAAGCTAGGAGCTTCGGAGGATTGTGAAATTGTAATTCTTTTGGTCAAAGTGAAATGATTCAGGTGGATGCACCTAGTTTTTCTTTTCTTCTTTTTTTCTTTCCTTTGTTTTCATTCTTTTTCTTCTTCTTTTCCTTTTGTTTTTCCTTCCCATTCCTTTTTTCAATTTTCTTTTCCTCATCTCTTTTTCTTTATTTCACTTTCTTCCTCTCTCCCTATATTCATATACTACTTTTTTTCATTCAAATGGGTCATCAACTTCCATTTAGTTTTGCATACTATGATTCAAAAACATTTCCACTCTGGTATTTCTATATTTTTAATACACATTTATTAAAATCTAACAGTTAAGAAAGAGTTTTGGGATTTGTCTTGCTTTAATGGTAAAGAAGACGATGAATATTAGGATTTTTAAAGCCAGAATCAAAAGCTTAGTGGGGCATAAGTCAAGGGTGAGGGTCTTAGAGATGGATTTCTGGGGAAGATGCTGTAGATTAGCAAGGTTGTTTGATTTCATAAATATTGACATTACATAAAAGATTGAGAGATACATTATCAATTTTAATACCATTAGAGTAAAAGAAATTGAGGAAATATGGTGATACAGAGTAAATGTCAAACAATGGGATCAAAACACTGTTCTGTGTAGATAATTAGACAGAGCTTAATAAAATAAAATGAAGAGTACTTAAAAACATTAAACTTTGAGGAATCATAGAGACAATGGGAAAATTCTGAGATAGTGGGTGTGTAGGGATGGATCCAACACTTCGGGATATGACAAGAACTCCAGACAACTAATTTATCATTTTTATCTTCACAATTCATGATAATGTACAGAAAAATATGACAAGAAGGAATAGTGATTTCTTCTGTAAAGGCACCCTTATCATATAAAGCAGCAATCCTTTTAACCTAACATATGCAGGTGGGCAAGTAAAAGCCATTTAACCACCTTACTTTAAAATGTTATTGTATTTTGTTTATAAGTTCAAGTACATCTCAATACATTTCTTTCATTTTATTGGATTATTATGCTACGAAATTGAATGAATAGCCTAACCCTGGACAACTATTTGGTGCGCTAGGCAAAAGGGAGATGTATACACTGCATGGCTACATTTAAATTATATGAAAAGCAAGTAAAATTTTATAATACTGTGTAAATCTCATGCAATATCTAGTTATTACTATTTCACCTTGTATTGAGAGCAGAAAAATATAAATTCTGTGAAAATATAAACCTGCAAATACATATATGTGAAATACAAATTTGATTAGGGTTTTTGTGATGTCTTAATGCTTTTGTAAAAACTATGTTTCAACGAATTTTAATAATGAAATTGATAAAAGTCTGAAAAATACAAGCAAAATATCCTTAATAAGCATTTTACATTTGTTTTAGTTAAAATTTTTAAAGTTTGCTTGTATGAAACTTGGTATATTTCAGTTCAGTTCCTTGATACAGAAAAATCAAACTTTATAGTAGATATAGATGAAGCTTTTATTGTATATTTGTGAATATGTATTATTCTTGTGATGTAGTTTGAAAATAAGTTGTTGTAGAAATTGTTTAATGTATCATTGTTCTTTTTAAAAGATATCCTGCGGAATGAATTCTCTTCAATTATTCCAAGATCTAAAGAAGATCATCTGGTGTAAAGGTTAGGATTATTGTTGAGAAATGTAGGTAGTTTCTCCTCCTCCCTTGCATGATTTCAGTTCATCGTTTTGAGCATGTAAGAGGAAGAAAGCAAAATTTTCAACATGCTTTATTGCATATTCGAGTCATATATAATTGACTTATAAATGCATGAATAAGAGTAGTGTGTTTATGAACATTTTTAGAAATCCAAATTAACTAGAGTTTCCGATTTACTTTCTTGTTTAATAGTGAATTAATTTAATAGTTTGGTAATTATAAGATTCTTTCATACCTCTAATTTTTTTACAGTCACTTTATCCTTGTAGTACGTTTTAATACATTTCATAATAGTTTTGCAGAGTATCAACAAAATAACCTTTAAATAGCCTCTTGAATGTTAGTATACATTTTTAACAGAATTTAAAGAATAAATAAAAAGAAAAAAGTTAAACAGAAATCTATATGTTTCAGAACTAGTTCCAGTGCATAAAGTTATTCAGTTATATTATGGTTTTCATGTGCATGAAGAATGCACCTATATTTGTAGTTGTATGTTCACAAACTTTTTATTTTATTTCATGAACAAAATTCATGTCAGGTTTTTGTCGTACTGTGCATTTTGGCCCCTTAATTTGATTTGTTATAAATTTATAAACTTTTGCTGAGTTAAAATTTCCACTTGCATTCCATACTAGTAAATGGTGATAAAAATTACTTTACTAAAAGTTATTTATAAAAAACAGGCACAGCATGTATATTTTTGAAGAGGTTCTCTTTTATTTACTAATTTATTTATTTTTAACTGTTTGTGATAAAAAGAGGAGTACAGTCTCTGTCAGGTTGTTGCCATAGAAGCAATACTGAGAGAGCTGAAAGACTCTGTGAACATTTGCAGATGATTATTATTGGAAAGATTCCTCTTTAATTTAATTTAATTTTTTGACTGGGAACCAATTCTCACGTTCCAAATAAGTCTTTTAATTCTACCATAACAAACTACCCTCTGAAACATACTGCACCTTAGGCATTCTGCCTTAGTTTTTTGATTTTTTAAAATCGGTATTGAATCTATAGAAATCAAATCAGTTTATTTACAGAGTTGTTAGTAATGAACTAGAGATTGTTTGTAAAAGGAGCAACTGGGGTGCTCTACTCTGATTTAACGTACAATTGAAAGATTCTTCTTATTTTGGAAAAGTTTCATGAAAGATGTCATTGAAGTTTCATTTCTTGAAAGTCTATTTTTTGTAATTGTTCTTTATCTTGCAATCCATTGCTGGGGAAAATAATTAAATCCTTTGATAAAGAAATCCTTTTATGTTGTGAAAGTTTTAGGAAATAGAGCTGAGATGTTAAAATTAATATTACATCTTTTATAAGAACAATACATGAGGGTGGTTGCAAGAAATCAACTTCCAAAATTTCTTTGAGAGTAACCCCTAAAAAGTTATCGATTGGTTTAAAAATTAGTTACACAAAGTTTCAGCTCGATTGGATAATCTTAAAGCCTAACTCATCAACCCAAGTTAAAAAAATTCAATTTTTCTCAAAAACGCACGTGATATTCATAATAAAACAAGAACATTGGTCCTTGAACAATTTAATTATAATAAATGATGGATTCACATGTCAATTTGTTTTCGATCCTCTCCATTTATTCCAATTTTTTTATTCACCTGGTTGCAAATAAGAGGCATGTTAATTGAATTTCTTAATGCTAAATTATTTTAAAAAAATGAAAGACAAAAAAATATTTTTTTTCAATATTGGCCAATGAAAATCCTATACATCTTTCGATCAGTTTCATCTGATCAAGCTGAAACGTGAGTCGTGCATATCTTGTGCTGTATGCTCCCCCTATACAAATTTTAAAATTAGCTTTTGATAATTAGTCTTCGGATAATTTTTTCCCTCAAATCAGTGCATCTAGTTTAATTTTTTTTCTTCATTGAAGCGAGATAGTAATTATTGAGATAGTTATGATTTTTATTACTCATTTTTATTGTTACAGTTTAGGATGAATTTTATTTCTAGTGTTATAGATAGATAAGGGGCATTTCTCTTACAGAGAGAATGCAGCAAAGGAGGGCTGTTTGTATTAAATTAAAAATAATGTAGTGTATTTTAGGAAGCAATGTTCCATCTGGTTCCTACATGTAACCCATCATTTTACTTCCAAAAAGAGTGCTATGTAATTTCGTATTTATATATTTTTTTGTTTTTGCTTGCAGGACAACTGATTATGGACCTAAGGATGTGAATCCTAATAACCTGACTGTCGTAGGATGATTTCATACATCTGGAAGGTAGAAGGTGTAATAAAGAAAAAAACTGCATCGTTGTTTAGGCTGTGAGGTTCAAGTGGACCAATATTGGAATTGGTAACTTATTTTTGTACCTCTCTGTGAGGTAAACAGATAAGCATTGCCAGTCACTAAGGGGGACCAAGGTCAAAATGCTACTATTTTTTCTGTTAAAAGTTAACAATATAGAAGGTTGTTGTATTTGAAACACACTGCAGTAGATTGATGAGACTAACCAAAATCTTAAATAGTAGTTTTAGTATTTTGCATTTAAAAATGATAAAATTTCTGTGTTGGCAGCATATTGTTATTTAATTTTGATTAAAGTTCCTTGTGTACAGTTCTAGAAAGGTTTCTGTTCTTTTGAAATTGTTGTTATATGTATACATGTGTAAATATTTATTTTTTTAAATTGCCATAAAGAATTACATACATATATTTTGTGGGATTGATACATTCTATTTTGCAGGGAGGGGGGTGACATGTAGGTAACATAACTTTTTCTTTTCAGTGAACTGTTATTGTTTACATGTCTTAGTTTCCATTTTTTAAAACTCTTTTAATACTGATACATTCCTAATCTTTATGGAACGCATTATGAGAGGGCTTCAGAATGTTAAGTGATTGATGTATGCTAATTTTCATCTTATATTTCTTAATTTACATTTGTATATTGTCAACAGGAATGATGCAATCCTGCTTACACTGTACCATTATTATTTTTTGAGGCATGTACTTTTGTTGGGTAGTAAAGTAGTGCCAGCTAACTTATTATCTTTGTGATTCTATGAGATAAACATATCTTCTTAAAGAGTGAAATTCTTGTGCCACTGAATACATTGTGTTTACGATATAGCTTTAGAGTAAGAGAATACATTTATCTTTGCCACGTTTTATGCTGTATATATTTTGTAACTAATTTTTAAACTTGTTTTGTAGTACTTTCTCTATAATTGTGCATATTATTTATTTTGTATATTTATGTTTTGAAACTAGAAGTAAGAAATTTTGTTTAACACTGTGTGGCACTGTGCGTTGTATAATAGAAATAATCACAATGCATAATTTTTAAGTTTTGTAGTAGTTGTAGAAATTTGAATCACATTTAGTATGAAGAGCAGTATTTCATTTGTTGTTTATTGCATTTACTAGTATTGTTTTGAATATCATTTTTTATTTTGTACCTTCTGAACATCTAAAGGCGTAATAAGAGTATAATTTTGATAGTGTATGGCTGTTCTTAATTTGTAGGCACAAGTTTGTAAATTTTCATTATTTTGTTTAGTGCAGAAGTTGCATTTAAGCACTTCTAGAAATTGACAGACACATAGAATTTTTTGTTTCCAAAATGAGTCTCAGATAACATTGAGTTTCTCAGAATTGCTTTGTAAATTTGCCATATTTGTTGAAACATCTTCTTTCACTTACTTTCCAACACTTTAATTTTTCCACAACTTGCATTCTGTCCACTGATTTAAACCAAGTCATTAATGATTGATTAATGTTCATTTTAATTACCCTTCTTGAGTTGTTTAATGAGTTGGAATATCATTGTTGGCGAAGCAATTTAAGTTAAAATATTTTCTATGGTCTTAAGTTATAGCTCTTTTGATTACAAACATCGATAAATGCAATAGTGTGTGTGAATCGTTTGCATGGTTTAACCAGAAATTAATTGAAATTTCAACTTATATTTCACTTTCTCTCTCTCCATATTTAATGTACATAGTAATTGTATTTAATTTATTAATCAGCTTTGGGAACCCTGTCTGTACATGGCAGTGCTTGTCAATAAAAAAAATTATGTATAATGATAAGCAATACAGAAGTGTCTATAACATTTTAGATTTCTCTAAATAGTGTCTTCTAATTTTATTTTTCTTCAGAACTCTAATGCTTGATCGGTTATTTATTAGTACTTATGGAAATTGTTACTTAAAAAGCTTAGAGGTGCATTATCAATCGGGGCAAAAACATTTTTTTTAACACTATCAAGAAAATATGATTAGTTTTTGTTATTATTGAGAATTTCCATCACCATATTATAAATTGGAATTTACTATTATATTGTCTCAAATAAAGAAAACTATTGAGGAATAAAAAGCAAAGACACTGGTTCTATTTTAACACATAATGCATTCCATTTTTGTAGAATCTACTTTAATCGGTCTTCATATCAAAGTATTTTAGATAACAGAAATCTTCGTGAGAACAACTGCAAACAAAATCTTGCCCCAACTGAATAAAGTTTTCAACATTCAAGGAATCACCATGTGACATTGCCAGAAAGCTCTTCATGTCTTAGCACATGCTCTTCAAAACGTTTTGTATTGCTTGTCTAAACTTGAATTGAATTAAAGGCTATATGGAAGATGCATTGTGTGTGATAACCGAGTCTTGAAAAAATTTATTTCACATATTGTGAATTCCTATACTGTGAAGACAATATGAATACTGTACTTATACCAATAACATAGATATTTTGTTTGGAAGAAGATAACTTATCTTGGAGAGCAAAGACAATTATTAATTATGGAGGATGGAGCCTTACTTGTCAATTGCTATTCTAAGTGTGGGCACTTAATTGTAAAATATTGTTTGTATTGAGAAAATTGTGAATAAGTATTTTTGTAAATGTGAGACAACTGGAATTGTTGACCTACCTAAAATGGAAAAAAAAATTGGTCAACAGTTAAGAATTGAAAACGTAATTCTGAGTCGCTGCTTCTGTGTTTTACCACTGTCAATAAACTCAAGTCTATTTTCAAGCTGTAGAAATATTTTCATGATGTTAGTGGGCATCTTGTTGGTTGTTAATAGATAAAAAAGTGCAATGAAATACGTGAGAAGAGGTAAATGCGTTATGCCAAACATTTGATTTATTGTGCAGTATCTGACAGCACAGATGCGATTATTTTGCTGACGTTTTTTCCTCTTCAAATTGAAATCCTATAATGTTAAATTTAAATGATGTATTTTTTTATAGACTGTCACTTCAATTCATTGTGCTTTTTGTGCAAAAAAAAAAAGCTCTTGTGTTTCAATAAAGGTTGCAAATGCACGTTTTCTTTTAACATGTTACTTTCAAAAATTGTTTTGTAAAATAATTTCACTTATCAAAAAACTTTGTTGATTATTGTACAAAATAGTGATTGTTTGTGTAAAAAGGGTTATCTGTCTATTGTTTGAGTGTTAATAGTTTGTAGGTGGGATCATTGTCCAACTTTATTGTTGAAATAGAACATTGCAAAATGTCAATACATCATGTGTTTTGTGTGACTTGTGCTATCAAAGTTGAACTTATAGAGTTTATATAGTAATGAGAGTTGGTTACAGTTTTCAAGGGATATGTTTCTACTTCTCTTGGCTATTGTTCCTTTAAAGGAAATAGAAAAATACAATATATCCGAGTTCAACTACAGTAGTTTTAAATGATGCGAGAGTCTTAATATAATTTTAATTTTTGTTAAACTATTTGTAATGACAGTCATGAGTTTTAGAGCTGTACGTACTTGAATATTTTCTTTAAAAACAAAAATGTTTGTATACAATTGAAAATACAGGGAACCTCAGTATTAAACAGTGTTTTTATTTTGTACCATCTAATAATCAAAACTCTTCCCTTTATTCCTTGTTTTTGTCACTCCTTACTCTCAACAGGCTTTTACACCTTGATTGTCTCTAGCTGACTGGCAAGTACATTCTAATTTCGATTATAAGAATCTCTATGTATTTATATATGAGGTTCTTAGCTCCATTAAAAAAAATACACAACACATTTATCAATAACTCTTTCTTGAATTCCCCTCCTGAATAAAACTGTCCATGTGTAGGATCCTGTGTTGGGAAGTAAAGTTATTGACAAATCTTGTACAAAATATTTTAAAATGTTTTGATTTACTTTTAAGCAATCTTGTAAGAGAAATTTCAGGAAGTTTCAAAAAGAAACTTACAACTTTGGAGTTGTTTCTCAGAAAGAATTTTGCTCAATTCTCTTTACAGCCATGAAATTACTTCCCATTCAAATCTGTATACCATGTAAGGATCATTGAAAAAATTAATTTAATGAAAGTGTTATTTATTTCATACATATATTGATTATACAATTTTACATGCATACATTGATTATACAAAAAACATGTCATGGAAGGTAAATTAGATAGCAAATATTTTGGACTGGGAAATTTCATTCTTCCTCCACAGATAAAAATGACGAAAACTAGTTTTTTTTTATAAAGGGTTTAAGCTTGTGTTTGTACATGATTAAAGATTGGTAGGTTTCTAGACAAATGGAAAGATAATGCAAAGGAAATCCGAAAATCCAGTGTTTTTATCACAGTATGATAAAAGACCATTCTGTTCTATGCAGTCTTCAAAAATATATCTTAGGTTTGAATAATTTATTATTCAAATGTCTGCAACATGGTAGGAAAGCCATCATCTAAAATAATTGAATTAGTATTATTGTCTTGTTTTCTGTCAGAGGTATTTAAGTAGGAAATTGAGGGAAATAAAGTTTTTTACTATAAACAATTTGGGTTCTTGCTTTTTCTTTTTTTTGTAATAACTATGTATGTAATATATGAATTCTTTTACAAAACTTCAAAAGCAAGGCAAGTTTTATTTTTGAAACATACGAATACTCGTATCTTGCTTTTCTGTGGCCAACTACTCTCAGGCTCACAAATGTTAAGAATTATGAGTAGTAAATTTTGAATAAATATTACTCTTTACTTTGTAAATTTTGAATAAATAGTCAAGTTATAAATACTGTGTTGAAATTGCATGTATGTGAAACTTCAAAGATAACGTTGAAGTCTTTGTTGTGGCTACACATTTACAACATTATCTCCTAAGTCATGTAGTACATGCAATCCACAGAAATTTCATTGCATCTGTATATGCTTTGATTTTGGAAATGGAACATGAAACATTGATGCTATGATATTTATCAACAGAATTGATTTCAATTATTTTTGCTTTTTAGGGTCACTTGACACTCATATATACAGTGCATTCAATACTGTATGCATTTATGTAACTTATCTTAAGTATCACTAATTCTTCAAAATATTTTTGTATTGATTGATTGGCAGAGTGAACACTTCAAATCATTAGGAATGGAGTGCTTTTATAATGCTTACAAAATTTCTGTGGAAACATGCCACGCTCTTTTTAATAGAAATAATGATTTTTTGTAGTTGTTGGCATTGGAAACAAATGTCATGTTGTCTTGTTTGATCCAGTTGAAATAGAGTCAGAGTTTTATCAGAGTGAAATACGAATAATTTTATAAATGGCAGGTGCGCATGTAAAAGGAGGTAAATCAAGTTTTTGTCCAGAACAAGTATGCCAGAACATTGCTGTACTACAATACAATCATTGTGTATATGGGGATAAGTATCATGTCAATTTTGTCAATAACGTTTAAAGGTAAAATTGAAATGCTGCTTATCCCCCAATACATAATGATAGTATTGTAGTAAAGCAATGCACCTGCCAAATGGAACATTTACAAATAATTGTAAGAATGTTCAAGAATAGATGATACTGAATGTTATTACAGTTATATATTATTGCCTGAAGAAGGCAGAGGGAAGAAAATCAATTTATGTAATGTTTTTTGTTGTTGTTTTTTTGTTAATTCTGTCATAAGCTTATTTGTATGCCAATACGACAAAAATATCTTCATCTTTTAATTGCAAATTATTTCTGAAAGCACGTACTTAATTTATGGAAATGAAACCAAAAGTGGAAGCTTTGAAGATAGTCTAAAAATGTAAGAAAAAAGTTTAAAATTGTTTTCTCAGAGTTATACACATTCTTTGAAGTCAGAGTAATTTAAATAAACGTTTGTTTTTAGATTGTCCATCTTTTGTACTGTCACAAATTTCTGAGTTATTTTGTGTTTTTATTTGATTAATTGGATTTTACTTGTAGTATAGACTTGTCTCCCTGATCACATTTTCTTATTGTAGTGTATTCATCAACTCATTGTGATCATCTTATTGTATGTCATCTTATATTTTTCTGTATATGTTCAAAAACAGAACAAGTGCTTGAGACTTAAATAATTTCATTTTCAACTTTGTATGAACTTATTCTCAAACAAATGAAATATTATTTAGAACAATATTTATAACTACAAAAATTTTCCATTAGAGAAGTATTTTCTTATTTGCTCAACATTTTTATATTCACTTTAAATATATTGAAAAAATGAGTAGAATAAAAATTACAATGATTATAACATGCTACTACCATAATAAAAAAATAGTGTTTCATTAAAATATGCCAGAAATTATGAAAAAATGCAAAGTCAAAATGCTTTAAGCTTAATTTAATAATTATTTCAAAAATATTTATTAATTTCTCTTTTTCTGAGGTACCATCCTAGATAATATAGTTTGTTTTCATTTATATCTCCACAATAATATGTCAAGAAATCATGTTTCTATCACATCTTAATCTCTGAAAAATAAAATTATATTTTTTAATTTAAATTAAAATCTCTTCCATGATACAAACAAGTTTGTGATAAAATGTTAAGTATAATGTGAAATATTTAAAGAAATTGCTAACATTCCTACTTGGAAAGTATTTTATTTCCATTGCACCTGGATTCACATTTTTGGACTTTCCAAGTCAATCACTTTTCAAGATATACAAATTAAATATTTTAAAAACATATAAATGATACTCAATTAGAATTGCATTTAATTATTCAAATCTATTTCTTCTCAGTAGAATACTTGAAAGTGACTTAGTCAATAAGGTCTTATCAATATATGATGTTTTGGGACAAATTATACCAGTAAAATAAAAATGATAAAGCCAAAGAATGGGAAATAAGAGAAAAGTGCCATTTTATGACTTGTCTCTGTTCTATGCAAAAACTTATAATGTACGCTAATATTTCCAGTTTTTTTTTTCTGAACTAACAAATACTAGAGGGACTTACAACACAGAAGAGAGAAGTTGTCCCTTATCCATTGAATCACTTTGATGTCTTAGATACAGTAGTTTTGAGTTGGCTTTCTGCATTAGGGAATCATACATTTGTTGGTGCAATGCATTTCTTGACAATCATCTAGATAAAGCTGCAGAGGGCATCGTGGATATTTATCGACTGTAAAGCCTCTAATTTTACATCGAAAATACTTCATGAGGCACGTTGTTCCAACTAAACTTTAGGGGTTCACACGGAGCCACTCAGCTGCACTTCCGAGTGGCGCTTCCGCTGGTAAATCATTGGTGTAAATGGAGGTATTCACCCGAGTAGCGCAGCATAGCGCAGTGTCGGTTAGTGGCGCATTCCCATTACCAAGAGAACAGACGCGTAAATGGCAGCCTTCACACTTGGCCTCTCGGAAGCACCACTGTGAATGTATGTTATAACATGACTCACATGTCGCCGCCGGTGCATACAGCACTCTCTAAACCTTCCTTTCCATGCTGAGAGGCGCTGGTCGGCGGCTGTGTGTGAAGGGGCCCGGCATTTATCGGTGGCACTGCCGTGTGGCTCCACGTGAAGGCGGCTTACACTCCGATTCAATAGGGAGTCCTTTCAAGGCCACGAGCTGGCAGGAGAAAGGATACTCAATCGCGAGCTTCGTTACGACTTAAATTTTTGGAATGGAAGCTCCCGGATGGATGAATATTCCCCGTTCTTTTCAGATAGTGACCTTGAAAGGACTTAGTGTTTTAACCGAAGTATAATACGGAGAGGGCGCCCGTGAGCCCCAACGCGGACAACCGCTGGAGCTGAGGGTAAAGTGACCATCCCTTCGGGTCTCTTGGGCGCATGTGTTATTAACATTCTCTGTTGTTTGTTACGATCTCCTGGTTCAAATTTTTCTCAACGCGTTTTATTATTGCAACGCTTTATATAATTTCACAATTGAATGATTCATTATGTTATAATTAAATCATCTGACTGTTGCTCAAAACTATTGGCTGCTTTATTGAAATCTCAGTCCTAATACAAAAGTCCCAATCAAATGTCTAACACTTTAGGCAAGTAACACCCCCCCCCCCAAAAAAAAAATTGAGACAACAGACATTGCAGTCTCAGTGTTGGCCCTCTCAATATCTCCAGGTGAACTCAAATAAAAAGGCATTTTACCTACAGAAGAGGAAGTATCTTTTTACTAGGTAGCGCGCTTCCAATTTTCGCTTTACTGCATTAAACAGAATGCATTAGAACATCACATGTAACATAACTTGTAAAAACAAAATACTAATATTCTGTATAAAATAGTGTGCTAAGTATTGATTTCAATTGTATATTATCTGTTAAACTTGAAGGTTTCTTTCTGAGCCTCGGTGTGCATGCCGTTGTATAACATAAACGATTCCTCAATGAGAGTTATACAATTCTTTAAATTCAAATAAAGCTTCTTTAAATTGTTGAGAAAAAGGTCAACCTCAGGAGATAAAAAAGGAGTTATGTTGGGAGAAACAATAAACGGGATGTGAGGATGTATCATTTGGTATCCCCACATCTCTAGTTACAGCCCTGGTTGAGTTGGAACAACCTGTCGTATGGTCACTGTTTCAGTTATAAATGTTAATATCTCATACATACAGGGAGGTGTAATTCCAATTAGAGAGTACACTTGATCTGCAAACGCAAATTTGCTTGTTTGATGTGATATAAACCTTGTGAATATCTAAGGAAAGAGTTCAGAGCTTAGAAAAAATATTCTGAATGTTTGATAGCAGTCAGAAAATGCTTTAGCTTTTTGTTGTTGATGGCTAGTCTGTGTGTAGACATTTGAAATTACTTCTCATGAAGTAGGCTAACTGCATTTGCTAATTGTGTCACAGAAGAGCGAGATTGACAATTATGGCTTTTGGGTGTTATATATGTTCAGAAAAGCGCGTCTTTTTCTAAGTCTGGAGTGGAGGAAGTGGGGCCTTGTATGAAGGAGGTTGCTGCAACTGACTTCTTCCAATTTGGAGCGTTTGAATGTGGTCCCAGAAACCAAGATGTGCTGGGTGATGGGAAAGTGATCAGGTATTTCTAAAGGATACCGAAGGATAGGATTACCGAATCAGATCAAAATTTTGCGCAATAATTCGGCGGTTCAACATAACTATATCTACAAATCAGCGGACTGCTTTGACAGCCTCCTGCTCATATAAAATGGGCAATTAAGTGTTTGTTGTCCCTGTTCACGTGATGTGTGTGAACGATTGTTGGATTACAAATAGCAAAGCGCCGATCAAAGCTACGTATGTCGAAAAACGTTTACCAAAATATCTGTATTCTTTGTCATATCTACTGTTATTACTAGTGTATAACGATGATTTTACAACTGAATGAAATAAAGCACAGTTGGAGTACGTGCTGTCTAACATGCGTGCTCGAGTGGCGAATGGAGAACACAGTGCAACCGATTACGCATTACAGCGAGACCAACCGTTGGCACAATATTCATTGTTAACGAGTAGTACTTTACACACACCACTAAACATTTCATTTACGAAAAATATGCTTGTAATAAATTAACACACTGAACAAATAGTCGGTAGTCGCTCTTATACAAACACTTGTAGACACGATGAATTTTTTTTGTGCAAATTGACCAATTTCACTAAAGTTCTTCAAGTGCAAGGCAACACATACATAGAAGTATATCTGCATTCACTGATCGTAGGAGTAATAGAGACCAACAGTACATTTTTAAATTTACGGGATCACTCCATCCCGAAAGGAAATGGCATTTTTTAACAGCCGGGAGAATCAATTGAGCATCGAAGAATCCATTGTTTGAAATGACTTACTACATCAATGCAGACTACAGATAAAACCGATGATTTATATTTCATTCTTAGTTAAAACAAGACAATTCTGGGATTAATGGTAAAAAGGCGTATTCTACTTCATGGAAATCCTGCTTGATCATGCAAGATACATTGCACGTTCGATAGTACTTTTGTATACGCTCTGGACAAAACATCAAAAAACATTTTTCACACATCGTGTCTGTTTTCATTTAGAGAATTTACTTAAATACTGACAACAATGTATTACGTGTGACCACAGTTTGAGTTTTATATTATTACAATTTATGATATACGATTACATTACAAAATACCGCATTTATAACAATTATTTGAGTACACTTCTCAACAAGTAGAAAATAAGAACTCTAGTGCTCAACCATAAAACAAAACACAATACTCGATACGTAGTTTTATATGACATTTACAAATGTACAAACATCAGATTACTGGAGTTGAAATACGCATACGGATCTATTTCTATGAGCTTCTTGGTAATGTTATCCGAATAAGATTGTAACAGCTCTTTTTTGTATTACGTTTTTGAGTTGCCTTCTGTCAGCACAGTCGATTGTCATTTCTGTGTAGTCTTTTTGAAACGCTGGAACTAATTATGCAATATTTACGATAGCTAATCCGATTTCAGCCTAGCTTTGCGCGTTGCGATTCTCACCTACATTCCGATTTGAAGGGAAGAATCTAGGAATCGAAATTACTTGATAGAATGTGATAGAAACTTTAGAAGGCAGTTTCAGTCTCTGCTAAGGCAAACGCAGTCCTTTCCTCTTTTTGCCCGATTTTCTAGATTAACGATTAAAAAGTCTATATGAATCAGAAGGACCGTTTGATATTTGCGTGAGAATTTGTCAATTAAGGCGATTATGAATAAGCTCTCCAGTGATTGAAATACTGCAACATGTTTCCGGGTGCCTAGGTGGCATGTAGTATGTATGTATCGGTTAGCACCAATTCATTCAAGATCTATCGATAGTAATATAGCTTCTTTTAGCATCTAAAAAGAGTATGAATGCAAGAGAGAAAGATAATGTTTTGCCACTTCCAAGTTCCACCTAATTTGTTCAAATGGATATCGCTGCCTCAAGACAGCTTAGAGTTTGCATATGCATTGTCTTTTCGCTAATACATTCTCCACTCGGACTAGAAGAAAATTTACGTGAAATAGTAAAATTGATATTTAAGAAACTTTCGCAATATTTGGTCCTTTTTGTGTTGCGAGAAAATAATAATCTCTCACACTCTACTTAAAAATAGACTAAGTAAGTCGCGATGTTTTTATATTCGGCTGTTTTCATACAAAGACGTACTTCCACTGAAGCTGTTCACTAACTTTCACAAGAGAAGTACATGAAGGCTAATCTACATGACAGAATTATCCATTAAGATAACATTACGTCACTGGAACAATTACCAAAATTATATTTAACTATTAATTCAAATAAGCTCTCCCGAGAGTTCATTTAGTCCTCATCCTGGCAAAAGTAAACTAACAAGGGTAAAGAAGATAATCAAGAAGGGCACGTAAAAATGAGATTAATAGAATACGTTTAGACGACAAAAATAAACAATAGTTGAAGTCCTGGATTATTTATTTCTACAACTACTAATAGTTTTGCATTAAAACATCGATGTAGTATCCTCAAGTACATATTGCATATTTAAGACTGGATTACGTTTCTTCTTTACGTTTCGCCGTGGACGATTTGAATCGGTTACGTTGGTACATTTAGGATCCAGCGATTGAGTTGTTTTTTAGGTAAGCGCGAACGACACTGACATCCATAACTAACTAAAAGAAGAAATAAACCCATAAGAGACGATTTAAGGAGTGACCATTTCACTGTTCGCTGTTCAGTCGACGAGGTACTTTTTTCATTTACCTTACGTTAGAAAGGTAAAGTACACTCTAGGCCAAAATTTGCCTTCACATAAAACATTTATGCAATATTCAATAAACTTATATTTATACTATAATTATAAATTAAGACTGAACAAGAAATGGTGCTTTTGGAAAATTAGGTATTCGAAATTTTAAATATAACTTAAAAATAAAGCGTGTTTAGTTAAATTTTTGAATAAAAAATAAGGTGCGACAAATAATATCTTTGTATATAGTGCAATATTAATTGTATGATTGTACAGTCGGCTATTGTCCAAACTATTTCCAGATTATTTACTCAAAAATGGCGTAATTTATATTATCGTGAAACGTGTTCATGAGCAGGAAATTTAGTGAAAAGTATTTTTAAAAACATATGATTTCATTATTACGAAAGTAATAAAAAGGACTGAGACAAAGATATTCAGAAATACTACTCCGAGGAAACAGTTGAGAGCCCGCTTAATGAAAGTTGACGTTACGGTGTTTTCTTATGCTTCACGATTCTTTCATAGTCAAATAGTTATTTACGTAACTTGAACAGAAAGTGCATCTTTGGCGACGAATGAAATGTTGACGGACAAGCCGACGACAGGAGCCGAGTTCTGCATTTTGAAAGGAATACTCCGAAGACATTTTCGTAGGAGTTGCGTTCATTATTTTTTGATCGGATTCACGGAAAGTTACTAGTTTATAATCTTGGGATCATTCTCAATATGCGAGCCATGTAGATTAATGCCGCCTCTGTGTTTTATTTACTTTTCTGCACTCAATTATTTTATATGACTCCGACTTCAACACTTTCATCAGTGAAGTTAAGCACGAAAACTGAAAAAAGTTTAAAGTATAATTTCCCTCTCTTTCTCTCTCCCTGGAAGCTCTGGCTGAAGCTCCAGTTGTTGCAGTTGAGCGGCAGGACAACACGCACTCGAGCCCAGTGCTCTTAAAAATGATGGGGGACCAGTGTTCTGAGGATACCCTGGCACTAGAAGTTCATTCCTTTCCCCTCCATGAACATAATTTATCAATTATCACTAGTGTCATCTTGCTATCTTCTCTGCCGTATCGTTGCTGCCTCTCCTCCTGTTCCTCGAGTTCTTGCCTCCGAATGATCAGCCTTCGGCCCATCCCACTTCCGCCGTCGCTTTTTAAGGGCTGTCCACTTTAGGGGCGCCCCGGCCGGCGCGAGTTCTGACTTCGCCACTGGTTTTGTGAAATGCAGTTTGTGGCGAAACACCACGGTTTCTCTTCTTCTTTTAGATCAATAACAATACCGTGTCGGTGTGGATAGCGTGCAGATGACATTTAAATACTTTTGACTTTATTAAACAGATGGGCCATTAAACACTTGGTTTGATTTACTTGGCTCGAGAGCTGCCTCTTTCCATTCATTCCACATTTGCTGTCGTCGTCGGATTCTCAATAGGGATTCATCTGCAAAATCTCAACGTCATTGTCATTCCCCAGTCGGGGTCCTCTTCATGTCACTGTGATAGAGAAAGCCTCCTCATAAATTCCTTTCGAAGAGAGTCCATTTACTCAAGGAAACATACGTCAGCAGGATAATTGGGAAAATTCACAATTTTTTTTACCCAAATGTGAAGTTTTCTCCATCTGTAGTCCACCAGAAGCACCATTTCTCTAACGGAGATGTGAATTACCATTCAATAACACATTATAGTATTTCACAACTATATACTAAATAAAAATATTCTTCTTTTTACACTGGTAATACCTAATAATTTCATTAATGTTAAACCATCTTACAAAAACTAGAGTACTTGTGGAGGCATCATCGCTAAAATTAAACGTCCTAACTTTCTTGTTCTGAACTTGAAAGGTACGAACAACGAAATTTAATGAATGAAGAAAATCCACATTTATTTAAATATTGTGGCAATTTTTGCTGCATCTAAAAACTCAAAATACAAAAAATCCGCAAAAGCTGTCACTGGTGATATGACTCCAAACGTCAAAACGCCTTTCTGGAGAAGAGGCTACACCACGACATTTCCACGACGCAGATTAAGCAACGTTCAACAACGAAAGCCTTTAGTTACTATCTCGCAAATAAATCTCGCGCTTCTCGAAAGTTTCTTGAAATGTTCCGCGTTTTGGTAACCGAAGCAAGTACTTGGCATTATTAATGCTGAAGCATGTAGTGTTCTGTTTTTTTATATAAACCGTTAAATATATGTGGGCTCAGCGACTTGTAATACGTATTTCAGGTAGCCTCCGTCGTCATTTCCTCGCTGTCTGTGACGTAGGCCTATCTCAATTATTTGGATGTGGCGCAATTTTGTTTCTTCACTATGCGTGACGTGTCCTGTTGACGAGTTCAAAAACTTGCATATGAGAACGTTGGATTTACTGAATAACTTTGAGAGAGAACGTATTAAATTCGAAAATTAATTAAATATGAACATTATCATAAAACATAAAAGCAATTTTAGTACATTTTTTGGTAGTTATTATTATATCTTCTTTATATTATAAACATTTAATATCTAAATACGCAAATTAATCATATCAATATCCACACTGATATGAAATTCATAGAAGACGTTTCCTGTAGGTGATTTTGTCATTCAAATTTTGTCATTCTATCCCGCCCAGGATCTTTCGCTGACATGGAACTCATGCCACATGCCAGTTCTTCGTGTCACCGCGGTGAAATGTGCGCATTCCTCCACGTCTGGATACTATTTGTCTTTGAAAAAAAAATTGTTACGTTTAGAGAAAAATACAGCTAGTTATTTGGTCAGAGACCTCACATCTCATTACATTATTTTCTTGACAGTTTATGAACGCGAGGTGGAAGCTGTTGACAGAAAAGACACGATCCAATTACGTAATTCATGGTATTATAAAGGTCAAAGATCGTGCGTTATTCTAAATGCAAGTTAGTGCTCATTAACGGGGAAGGTCACAGTCCCATACGTATGCAAGGTTTCCCGTGTAGATATCACCAACCCTCATCAGCTAAATACTGAAATAACATTTACTGACTTCTATATGATAACCCAACGTGGTAACGATCTGTCAATCAACGATCTAGCGATGTAGTATTGCGTCCCCATCTGTAATAGAGGCGTCTGCATTTGTGTTAGGCAGCGGTGCCCAACGCACCCTGTTGGGAGGCGAGTTCCGTCGCAGTGCCCTTGGAAAGAGGGGGCTCCGTTGGGCCCCGCGCGGCCCCAGCCGCTTCGCAGAGGGGGGGGGGGTCTCGATCGGGCCTGCAGCGGAGGAGGGGAAGGCGGGGAAAGTGGCGCGCTGGCTCGTTTGCAGTCAGCCAAGCGTCACAAGGATTTCGACGAAGCCTTTCCGCCGTGACGAACGGGGAGGAGAAGGTGCAGTCCAGTCGCGCAGAGCAACACCTGCTCTGAACGCCTCTTACAGTTCACAGCTTCGTCGCGGCGAGCGCGAGCGGCCCTGCCGGCCCCGCCGATCGTCCCTCGAGGGCGGCCGCCCGCGGCGCGCGGGGGGCGAGGGGCGAGGGCGCGGGCGAGGGCGCGGGCGAGGGCGTCTACTTGCGCAGCGGGTGCCACATGGCGATGGGCTTGCGCAGCGAGGACAGCATCTGGTTCCAGTGCGACAGCGCCTTGCCCGACGCCTGCGACCCCACGATCACGTGCCCCACCGAGAAGGCGCGCGGCTCGCCCGTGTTCTCCGCCACCGTCAGCCGCAGCTGGATCGACTGCAACACAACACCACACACGCCGTGAGACCACACTGATTGAGACATTTGAATCCAAGGTAATTAACGGTGAAAATAATTTTATTTGGTAAGGTTAAGAGTATATCGAAGGCTCAGGTCCAAGAAGCAACAACTCGAAATTCTAAGTTTTGAGATATTGCCTTTTACAAGTCGAATATCGCACTGAAAATGTCACTTTAGATCACTTGAATTTAAAATGTATTGCACAATAGTACAAAATTAATGATACACTTCTTAATAATAAATCTTCAAGAGTACGCAGTGATTCACAAAGTAAATGAATCACCAACCGAAATTTCAAAAAAGAATCGAAACATAGTAAATAACAAATCAAATGAAAATCTCCATTTGATTTTACGTGATACACCAGAAAATCTAAATATTTGGGTCAAATATTCCATGAAGAAAACTTCTTTAGATAATGTTGGAAGGAAAGATGGTCGGGAAGAGGAGTGTACGACGGAGAGGAATATCGGGGGTATAGTTGAATAGTATTAACGAAGGGGATTAGCAACTGATGCCAGAAACCTCAGAAACAGAGCAAGAAGAAGCAGACGTAGAAGAAGCAGAAGCAGAAGAAGAAAAAGCAGAAGAAGAAGAAGAAGAAGAAACAGAAGAAGAAGTAGAAGAAGAAGCAGAAGTAGAAGAAGAAGCAGAAGTAGAAGAAGTAGAAGAAGAAGGAGAAGTAGAAGAAGCATAAGTGGAAGAAGAAGAAGCAGAAGTAGAAGAAGAAGAAGCAGAAGAAGAATCAGAAGAAGAAGAAACAGAAGAAGAAACAGAGGAGGAAGAAGAAGAAACAGAGGAAGAAGAAGAAGAAACAGAGGAAGAAGAAGAAGAAGAAGAAGAAACAGAAAAAGAAGAAGATGAAACAGAAGAAGATGATGAAACAGAAGAAGATGATGAAACAGAAGAAGATGATGAAACAGAAGAAGAAGAAACAGAAGAAGCAGAAGAAGAAGCAGAAGAAGAAGCAGAAGAAGAAGCACAAGAAGAAGAAGCACAAGAAGAAGAAGCACAAGAAGAAGAAGCACAAGAAGAAGAAGCAGAAGAAGAAGAAGAAGAAGAAGAAGAAGAAGAAGAAGAAGAAGAAGAAGAAGAAAGAGAAAAGAAAATGCTCAAGAGAAAGAGAAAATAAACAGAAGAAAGAGAAGGAGAAACATCCAGAAAAAATGAACAGAGCGAAGAGAAGATGCGGAGCTCGCGCGTCGCCATGGTGACCGGCCCGGGCGCGGCGCAGCGACAACTGCCCGCTGGGCGCCAAATATAGAGCCGCCGCCCCGCCCCCTGCGCGGCCAGGCGGACGCGCCCTCCGAGCGCTGAGCGGCGGAAGCGGAGGGGCGCGCCGCGTGGCCGACTCTAACCTCCTCCCAGGGAGGACTTGCAGAGGCAATGGGCCGAGGAAAGGGAAAGGAAACCATGCAGAATGTGGCTGCAAAACTGGCGTTCCGCAGATGACGCCGATTTTCCCTAAGTAAAGGCACGGCGTATGTTATGAAGAAGCCGACGTTGTCAATGTTGCCACTACGAATCCGATGCCATTACTAAGTACTGGATTTAATGATTTAAATTATAGCTGTTTATTCAATAAATGCAACCAGTGAAAAATTTAAAAAAATATATTATCATTGATTAAGTATAAAAACTGCCATTTCATTGATTACTCAGATATTTTTAATTTTTTCAATATAATTCCTGCAAATTTTATGTTTTAAAGGTATGATTGAATTGAAAAAAATACAAAGGATTTTTAATTTTTAATTACTTTAAAAATGTATAATGACATTTTTTATTTACAACTGTGTTCCCTAAACATTTCTCGTCAGGACTACGATATTTTGCATTTGTTCAAGAGTAAAGATTTGACAACAATGCGCATGGTTGTGCCATAAGAAATGCATTGTCCTTGGGAGCCCGTTGTACCTTCTCGGCGCAAATACCTTGGTCGAGGTTGGCTATGATAATTGAAAAGGCCAAATGCTTCGATTGGCCGTTTTTGAGCTTTCCTCTGAGCAAACCCATACGAACTCTGGAGTAGTTCCAAAAACAACCTGCCACCGCCCGCGCACTCTGCTTCTTTTGTCATTCTGCCCCCATATACATCCTTAGGGCGCATCCCCATGATAAAAAATCCCCGTTAGAGTTACGTGATGCGATTGTACCCACGGGACACTCGCTGGAAAGGAAGAGAACTTCACTTATATAAGATTTAAATCGAGACGAAAATGATCAAATTACAGCCAGACACATTAATTTGATGTCTAAGATTGACGTTTGATACAATACTTGTTTGATAGCATACAATGTTATTCTTATAAATCAGAAACATGTATTTGCAGATATATCAAAATGCGTGAATCATTCACCATGGAAAGGGAAAACATTTTGTACCTTATAACATTAAGAAATGCTAAGTTTATCAAAAGTCATTTCTTTCAACTTGCATGTTTACTTCAGAAACATTGATTGAAAAATAGGGCTTTGAAACAAATCGCTGGATTATAGACATATCAAGTGACAGCAGCTTACTTTTTGTTTTGTAAAATAATAGACATCTCAATTATTGTAGATTGTCGTGGAATGCGCAAGATAATGGATTAATTCAGATCAAATTAAATTTATTTAAACACTTTTTCAACTGATGATTAATATATTTAGAAAAATTTCTAACATTAGGAACAGAATTAATGAAATCAAAAAAATATATTTTGTTAGTTAAATTTCTTGTTATTTCTAAAACCAAATATTCCACACAACATTAGATGAAATATTGCTCTCAATGCACCTGGCAGCACCGCGATTCCCATCCGCGTTCGCAGCCAGCGAGCGGCGCCAAGCGGGCTGGCGTGGGAGGCAGGCGGGTGTGGGGTTTGGGAGAGGGGGCTTTGTTTCGCGCGGATATGAGCCTGTCGCCTGTCGCCCCTCGCGCGGCGTGCGGCGCCGAGGATATGAGATTTTTTTGCGCTCCGCGCCGCGCCGCGACCTGCCCGCCTGCCGCCTGCGTTGCCGCTCGCGGTGATGTCGGCGCCCCTGGAGTTGACTCTGCGAGGTGTCGATGTACGACACCTGCGAGGGAGGGAGTGCAGGGCGCGGCAGGGGCAGAGAGCTTAAAGCAGAAACCGGGAGAGGTGGCTCAGGGCATCAGCTGATGTCACTGCCGTGTCTCTGACCGGGAGGTCCTGGCGTTCGTGTACCGA